GTGTTTGTTGGGGGGGGGGGGGGGAGGGGAAGGGGGGGGGGCGTGGGCGGAAGGCGCCGAGCTGTAGGGCGGGGCGCCTCCAATCCACGAGAATTGGAAGGCTGGGGCTGGGGGGCGCCCGCCAGCACTTCCCGACCTGCGAAGCTGTTGCGACGGAAGCAGAAACCGTGGGCGCTGGATGGGGCCACAGGAGCCGCTCATGCAAGACGTGCCGCCAGAGCCACCACCTGGGCTCGAATCACCTGCTGAAGGTTACAGATCGACCCGAAGGACGGCGACGCGGGGGGCCAGGCCTCGCAGAAGCCCTTCCCGGACGGCTCAGAAGCTGGAGAACTGGCAGTAGACCCTGAATCCGAAAAAGCTCGATCAGAACTACATCAGAAGCTGACCGTGGACACCGACGAGATGACATGCCCCCCCGTCAAGAAGTCCAGAATCAGCGCTGTAGTTCAGGAGGGCTTCTCCTACTATTTGCAGGAGGGTAACTTCTAGAGCAGCTCCTGAAACCGATGCGCGGGTTCGCACGCGCACCTCGGAAGTGGTGGCTACGTGTCAAGGAGACGCTCAACAAGCTCAAGCTTGAGGCCATCCAGTGCGAACCCTGCGTCTGGCTCATCGATGACTCCCTGTGCCTACTTACGACAGATGGCCCATCGAGGCCCGAGTTTAACTCAAGGTTCCGGGGAGCCCAGTACATACTATCCATATTATGTAAGTCCGCGTTCCCTGGCGTAGCAGGTTCCTTTTTCTCTGTTTTGCAGCCTAGCCATACTTAATGGTCTCCCCAAGGTTCCCTGGAGAGCCCCAAACCCTAGAGGCCCTTTTTCCCAGAAAGGGCGCAGGCCCAGGGTTCTCTTTTAGCTGTTTACCCCCGGGTCTGACGGGAAGAGGGCGGGCGGATTTCTTTTGCGATAAACAACGAGTGGGAAGAGGGCTGGCGAATTAACAAATCAGGATGTCCCTAGCGAAACGCTTGTTTTTCAACATTTGTTGAGGATGTCTCGAGCGAAACGCTTGTTTTGTGTTATAGCTTGTCCTCTCCTGGGGACCTGAATTCAGAAGATCTCTCAAGTGAAATGTGCTTGTTTTCACGTGCCCAGGTCTTGAGGATGTCTCGAGCGAGACGCTTGGCTTCACGCCTCCAGGTTACCCAGACAGATGTCTAGCATGAGGATTTGTTGAGGATGTCTCGAACTAGAGGCTTGTTTTCACGTGTCCAGGTCGCCCAGCCGGATGTCTAGCATGAGGATGTGTCGAGATAGTCTCGATCGAGACGCTTGTTTGCACGTGTCCAGGTTGCCCAGGCGGATGTCTAGCATGAGGATGTGCTGAGAACGTCTTGAGCGAAACGCGTGTTTTCACGTGTCCAGGTCGCCCAGGCACAGCACAGCCCTCGGCACGGTACATCAATATCGATACCCCTAGCATTGCAATCTGGCATGTTGCCCGGCACGTTCCGCGGAGCGTCCCGTGGCGAGTCCCCCTGGCACGTCGCGCGGTGCACGTCCATTGGCACGTTCCGTAGCGCGTCCCCTCGGCACGTCCCGCGGTGCGTCCCCGTGGCACGTCCCCTGGCACGTCGCCTGGCGCGTCCCTTGGGACGTTCCGCGGCGCGTCCTCCTGGCATGTCCCCCTGGCCATTAGCTCTGGGGCAGCTACTATGTGCTGAGGCAGCTCGAGCTTAAGATCCAGATCAGTTCGGTCAGGACTCGGGTGCAAAAGAGGACTCGATCCACAACGCTATAGAGCACAATCGCGGCATGGCACATCGCAGTTCAGCACAGCGCAGCACAGCACAGGCCTCGGCACGGTACATCAAGATCGATACATTCAGCATTGCAACCTGGCACGTTCCGTGGCGCGTCCCATGGCGAGCCCCCCTGGCACGTCGCGCGGCGCGTCTCCTGGCACGTCCACTGGCACGTCCATTGGCACGTTCCGTAGCGCGTCCCCTCGGCACGTCCCGCGGTGCGTCTTCGTGGCACGTCCCTTGGCACGTCGCCTGGCGCGTCCCTTGGGACGTTCCGCGGCGCGTCCTCCTGGCATGTTCCCCTGTCAATTAGCTCTGGGGCAGCTACTATGTGCTGAGGCAGCTCGAGCTTAAGATCCAGATCAGTTCGGTCAGGACTCGGGTGCAAAGGAGGACTCGATCCACAACGCTATAGAGCACAATCGCGGCATGGCACATCGCAGTTCAGCACAGCGCAGCACAGCACAGGCCTCGGCACGGTACATCAAAGTCGATACATTCAGCATTGCATTTGCCCGTCGCCCAATCAAGTGTCTTTGAAGCGTTGCCATGCCTTACATTTCTATATTCCTTTCCGGGTTCGTGGGTCGATCATGTTTAAGAGTTTCAACGTTTCCCGAGACGTTTCTTCCGAAACCGTCTTGGCTCAAGCCTTTGTGCAGCAACTCAGTGTTGCTGGACTTTCAGACGTGCGGTCGAGAACCGCAGGACAGCTACTGTGCCCGCTGCCCAGAATCAGTTCTGTCCATCGTCTCGAGCGCGAGCAGCCTCGCGCAAGTCTTGCCACTGCAATCACATCGTTAGCGGAGATTCCAACGAGATAGAGATAACGAGCACTACGTCAATCAGGCGATCGAGGAGATCAGTATTCAGTGTGATCGGCAGTGGTCTAAGCGGGACCATTGCAAAGAGGGCCACTTATGCACGCAACCATGCAGCTGTAGATCGCCAATTTACCGAGAAGCTACGCCCACCTGTAATTTTGGTTACTCTTATTCCCGTTTTCCTGCTCTCTCCTCTGTCGTCCTCCTGCCTCGGCGACGTCCGTCCATGTTATAAGCAACTTTGCCCCGTCGCGCCTCCGGACGTGTCCGTAGGGCGGGATTAAAGCTTGAAACGGTTGCAATTTCAAATTGCAACCGTTTAACGGATGGAAGGCGGGCGATGGTCAAAATAAGGCTCTCGTCTTAGCGCCGCGCACATCCGTCCCATAAGTTTGCCACAACTTCACGGACGGAGGGCGTGACTTGTTTTCCGGTAAGAAACTGTATGTCGCCTCAACGCCGCGCAAATGTGTATGCAAAGCGTGCAACACATTCACGGCTGGAGGGCGTGCGGTTCTGAAAATGTAGCTATCGCCTTTGAGCCGCGCGCATTCGTTTTGAAAGTTTGTAACAGCTTCAAGGATTCGTTTGGTTTCAAGTCCCCGGAATGGTGTCCTGGCGCGGTTTAGATTTGTCAGGACGCAACAGTCACATTGATTCACGGGGTTGGACTCCCAGGAATACTGCTCTGACAAGATTTAGGACGGTCACTATGCATTCACGTTCATTCGCGGCGTTGAAATCCCAGGAATGGTGTCTTGGCCATATGGACTATTCTCAAACTGTTATCTTCCGACGGGGCACTTCCTGTAATTCTGAGAAATTATTGTTAGGGACCAAGAGAAAGGGAACTTTGAGGGAGAGTTTAATGCAACATCGTTTACGCGGATTGGGTTTAATTACAGTGGTCCTCCTCCTCCTCCTTCTCCTTCTCCTTCTCCTTCTCCTTTTCCTCCTCCTCCTCCTTCTGCTCCTCCTCCTCCTCCTCCTCCTCCTTCTCCTCCTCCTCCTCCTCCTCCTCCCTCCTTCCTCCTCCTCCTCCTCCTCCTCCTCCTCCTCTCCCTCCTCCTCCTCCTCCTCTGCCTCTTCCCAATCCTTTTCCTCCTCCTCCTCCTCCTTCCCCACCTCCCTGTTCGACTCCCCGCTCATCTTTCATCGTCATCGTCCTCGTCCTCCTTCCCCTTTCCCTCCACGACAGCGACTTCTGAGTCTGCGCCCCACCGGCCTCGTCGCCCGAGCCACCCGCAGGTGCCGCAGCCTCTCGTCCTCCAGCTCTTGCCCCGTCCCGGGAACCACGGTCCTCGCCGCCGCCCCGATCGGCACGGCCGGTGGTCCTCCTCGTCCCTCCCCCCTCCTCCTGTCCTCCTTCCTCCTCCTCCCTCCTCCTCCTCCTCCTCCTCCCTCCTTCTCCTCCTCTTCCTTCTCCTCCTCCCTCCTCCTCCTTCTCCTCCTCCCCCGCCCTCCTCCTCCTCCCTTTCCACCCTCTCCTCCCTTTCCGCCCTCCTCCTCCGCCTCTCGTTCTCTCCCATCCGAAGGGAGGACGAATCCCAAAGAGTACGAACAACACATGCAAGGTCAAGGCGGGGCGGCGGAGGAAGGTGGGTTACCTGCGCTCGGCCGCATGGCCCGCGGCATGGGCCACGCCTGCAACAGCGCCTCAAGCTCCAGCAGCGCGAGGGGGACCTGCGTGGCCACGCGGCGCCACGGGCTCCACGAACGATCCCTCGGCCAGGGCCCGCTCGGCCTCGGCCTCGACCCACCCTGCTGGGTACAGGTCAAGAGGGACTCGGAGGGCAGAAAACCAGAGAACCTTCGGCCACGGTGCGCCACTGCCAAACTACACGGTAAGGTGCAACCCCAAACTAGCGTCAGCCCGAATCTGCCCGAATGCAATATGGCAGTGGGTGCAGCTGTCCGCCTTTCAGGGTAGGCCTCGGCACTGCCACCAGGACTCTCTGCACAAATGCCTGTGTCACTGGCGTACACTAGATGGCCAATATTGCACCGAACAGTTGGTGTACGCGTGCCTCGCATCAGCATTGTCGAAATAGAACAAACGATTCACGTTCATACCTGCGAGGGCTGCAACCGCTTCCAATTTCCGGAGACTCGGAACATTAGTAGCCGTAGATACCGCGTACGCCAGCAAGCCAACAACACTGGTTGCAGCGGCCGCTGTTGCCGAAAGAATCGACGCACACCTGATGCCAGCGTTCTCGATGCTGGGCACCTTCGCCAGTCGAATTTGAAGACTAAATCCAGATATCAAACTTGTGCCTCCTTCCCCCAGCCGGATGTTGGACGACATGCCAATAATCGGTCGGAGGCTGGCAGTGATAGCTACAACTTCGCCAGCATGCATATTAATCTTCATTTGCGTAATCACTTGCTTGTCCCCCAGTCTACTCAGAACATCCGCTGCAATACAGTCAAGATACACACTGCCAACATTGGAGCAAACGACCACCGATGCGTAGACACTCGTACAACCACCTTCCGTCCGCGGGCCAAAAGCAACATTGAAGAACGAATGTCTGGCCCTGCCCGTGCACTCCTGTGGAGTTGTGTGGCGCAAACAATTCGGGTGAGCAAATGACGCGCAGCGGAAGCGGACGTACTACTGAATCCGAAGTTGTTTCTGACTGGGGAGCACTGGAACCATCTGCGTTGTCGATCGTATACCCTGCTCCAATTTGTCCGCGGCAACTTCTTTGTGTTTGTTCCTGATACCCGAAATATCATCAACCGAGAACGGCGCAGCGTTGTCCGGAAGCCAGGGAAGGCGCGCGCATGCTGCTCTACTCCGCCTCCGTCTCCGTCTCCGTCTCCCGTTGGATGGCCGCCGCGAGCGACCGCAGGGCGGGCCGGTAGACCTTCGGAAAATCCTGAACCGGAGGAGGAGGACGACGACGATAGGTGAGAGGAGGGCGCTTCCGGCGACGCGCCCGAGGCCGGGGGGAGGAGGGAGGGGAGGGAACGATGTGGTCCAGACAATATGACACAGTAGACGCGTCCACCATCTGTGCGAGGAAAGGGCGAGGAGGGAAAGCGGGGGCTTCCGTTGTCCACGCCGGGCAACAACAACAGAAGACAGGAAAAGACAACTCCTTCCTCCTTCCCTCCTCCCCCCTCCCTCCCTCGTAAGGAACGCGGGTAAGTGGTGGATCATGGGAGCACAAAAAAGGAGGCGCTGGTCCTGAACGGCCGGCCGGGGCCGCGAATTCCAGCAGACACGCGCGGCCCCTCGTTGGCCCGCCCGCCCCGCAGGGGTTGAGTCTGCGCGCGGAAGCGTTGCCGCGCGGTGGGGGGGCGGAGGAACATAAGTGTAAGCTACCAGTTGGTTGACAAGTATTGGGGGTGTAGTGGCGGATCGCCGGCGCAGTTGGGCATTCCACTGCGCTGCGGTAAGTTGCAATGCGCATGACATCTGATGCAAGAGCCAGCCGCGCAAAGATAAGGCCAGCTCCGCGACCGAATCAAAAAAAAAGCGAGGGCCAGGTGCTCCATGAGGTAGAAAACTAAGACCCCGCTTCTTAGGATGACGTCGTAGACGCATCACGGCATCCCATAGCTTACCCTTGGATGGTCAGCAAGACGAGAGATGATATTAGCGATGAGGCGTAGGATGGAGAACTGAACAATCGGTGGATGTGGCCTTTATCCGACGCCCAGGTTCAGCGGTGCCCCCGCAGGCGCGAGGGGGTATAGCGCTACCTTGAGCCCGAGATAGCGCTGGACATGGACTATGGCGTTCGCTATAAGATCACACATGCGAGCCCCCTCGCTATTTCGACTCCCGCAGCGCATTGCGAATGGCTGCGAACAACGGCTACATGTGACGCCAAGTGCTCCGCCGCTGAGACTTACCGCGAGTCGCGCAAGGTCGCGTCTAACAACGCCATCGGCCCAAGCGCCGACCAACATAATTGCGCGGCGCCGCGTAGACACCGGGCGCCGCTGCGGGCGCAGCGCGGGGCGACAGCCGCGGCTCGTCGCAGCGGGCCGAGTTGCCCCGGCGACGGATTTCTCCAGCGCAGTCACTTCAGCGTCGGGTTCCCCCGGCGCTTCGGAGACAGACCTCGGCGAGCGCCTCGCATCAGGTTTCCCTGGCGCAATGGGGAAGTGCGTCGGCGAGCGCTTCCGCGACGCGATGGGGAGAGACCTCGGCGGGCGCCCAGCGTCAGGTTTCCCCGGCGCGCGGGGAAGCGATCTGGCGGGGCGCTGGGCGCCGGGCCCCCCCGTCGCCAGATTTAGGGACCCTGGGGGGTGCTGAGCGCCGCGCCCCCCCGTCGCAGGAGCGCGCCCGCCCCCCGCCCCCCTCCGCGCCCCGCGCTTCCCTCCGCCCCCCCCGGGGGGGCGGCGTGGAAGGGCCAGCGGCGGTCTCGAAGGCGGTGGCCTTTGCCGCCGGGGCGCGCGCGTCGCCGCAGGCCCGCTCGAACGCCCTCGCCCTGAGTCGTTGGAAATCGAACGCGCGCGAGCGCGAGCCGTCCTCCGCGGCGGCGCCCCGCCGAGAAGGCTTGCTCGATCCTCGTGGGGAAGCGTCTTCCCGCGCGCCTTGTTCCGGGCTTGCGGGGCGCCCCCCCCCCCCGCTTGAAGGCTGAAGCGGACTGTCGGGCGTTTCGTCAACAGGGCTGGCGCGTCTCCCTAAGGGCGAGCTTTCTGGCCCCCCCCCCTCGCGGCTTGCGGAGCTTCTGCTGGCCTGTCTCCGCGGTTGCCCGCGCGCGCAGAGGCGCGCGCGCCCTCGCGCATGCAGCCCCCGCCGCGGCGACGCCAGCGAATTGGCCTGCGCCTTTCTTCGCGCCGCGGGCAGGCGGGGCGCCGTTGCCCGCCGCTTGAAGGCTTGGGCGGACTGTCGGGCGCTTCGTCGACAGGGCTGACGCGTCTTCCTGAGGGCGAGCGTTCTGGGCCCACCCCCTTGTGGCTTGTGGGGCGTCTGCTGGCTCGTCTCCGAGGTTGCCCGCGCGCGCATGGGCGCGCGCGCCCCCGCGCTTGCAGCCCCCGCCGCGGCGACGCCAGCAAATCTGCCCGCGCCTTTCCGCGCGCCGCGACTTGGGGCACTGGCCTGCCGAGGTGGACTCTTCGCGGGGCCTGCAAGCCCCCGACTTGTCAGTCGGCCCTGTGATCTTGTTCTCTGAACGCTCTGGGCAATGCCGCGGGCAGTCCGGCGAAGTGCGCGCCCCTCTGTGCCCGGTCGCCGCGCGCCCCCTGACTGGCCGACGTGGCCGAGCGACCCATATCCGCCGGCGCCTTTCCCCTTCGCGCCGTTTGCAGGCGCTGTCTCTCTAGGAGTTTGGCGCGCATGTCGCGGGGCCACTCGTGGCCTCGTTCAGGTCGCCTCTTTCCGCCCGGCGATCTGCCCCAGCAGTGCGCGCGAGACCGCGACGCTGTTCCATGCGCGTTCTGATCGGGGGTTCAAGGGCGGGGGGCTCGCGCCCCCGGGAAGCGCAGCCCCGGCCCTTGACGAACTCGCTGAGACCGTTGCATGTCGGCTTTGCATCGCGAGGTGGGCGAAGTGAAAGAAGCGGCCGTCTGTTTCTGCCAGCCCGCGCAAACCCAAAATCATAGAGATAACCTGTTGTCCTGTGACGAGCTGGCCGTCGGTCTTAGCTACTTCCATCCGCGCGTTGCCCTGCCCCTGCGGTCGCCATTTCTGGGGGCGTTCCTGCGCGCCGCGGCTATTCTCACATAGAGTATCTCGAGCTCGCCGCCGCCAGCCAGGGGCCCGCGCGTTGTTGCGGCATCCTCGACCGCGCGGAGAATAATGGAGCGCTTGTCTGGTCCGTCTGGGGCAGAGCTCGTCGCCCCGCGCATTCGCCGCTTCCGCCGTCGGAAGTGCGGCGCAGCAGGAGGGCGTCGGCATTCGATCTTTCTGGCCTCTTCGCACTTCGCCCTGTCCAGCAGCGTCCAAAGTGCGTCTCCCACGGAGCTCTGCTGCGCGCGATTGGATGATCCACCGCCCGCGCCGCGAGGCTCATCCCCGATGGGCGGGGGTGGCGCGCGTCTGCGCTGTTCCTCCTGGATAGCTGATCGGGCCCGCTGAGCCAGTATGAGCGCGGCGCGTTATTGCTGGCCCGGGCCCTCGAGTTCGGGGGCGAAGAGACCGCCGCGGCATTGCTGACTTCGTCCTGGGCACTTGCTGTCTTCAGCGCGCATGGCGTGAGATTGCTCCGACGCAATGCGCCGGGGTGCCGCGCGCGCGGCGAGTGGTTTCCCCGGCGGGGCGGCGCAATCTCACGCGCGGGGTGAGCGAGGGCGTTTTGCGTTGGCGCCGTCGGGGACCTGCTCTCAGCCACTGCCCACTCCGCGAGGTCGCGCGGCAGTGGCGACGCGGGCATTAATCGCGGCATCCCCATGTCTGGGCTCGCGCGCAGAGATCGCGCGGGAACGTCTCTCTGCATCATTTCGGAGATCGCCCGTTTTTCCGTCGACCGCATCGATCGATTTACCCAGCCTGGCACTTCCAGAGCCCGCCCCATTTCTAGTCCTATCCAGGCTCATGGCGTTCATCATGCTGCGATTCTGGAGCTGGTCACTGTAGTCGGCAGATGCTTGTTCGCATGCCCAGAGTCTGTCGCACGCGTTTCTGACCCGTTTCTGTTGGTCCACTAGCGCAGTTTCGCGCGTGGAGATCAGTCATTGTTTGTGGGGAAATGACAAGCCGTGCGATTGAGCTGCTCTCGGAGAGCAGCGTGATTCGCAATGATGCCATTCACGGCGATTGCGACTCCTGCCATTTGGCTCCTGGCCTGCTCCAGCTCATCGGCTTGAGCGAGCTGTTGCGCTCGCAGGGATCGAGCTTCTGTCTGGAGTTCGCGCGGCATGTCACCGCGCCGCTCATTGATGGGCTAATTGCTCCGCTGCTCGGCTGCAACCTAATTGAATAGTTGGCCTCGTGCCGCAAGCATTTCATAGAGGTTAGCATGGCTGCTCTGTCCCTGCGACTGCCCCTGCCCATGGCCCCTGGCGCTCTGCGCCACGAGGACTTAGACAGCAGCGCGGGCTTCAGCGTCGATAGCTGGGCGAGCTGCTCGTGGTTGACTGGCCAAGTGGGCCATCGTCCGTGCTTCTTCTGCAACGGCCCGCAAGTGCTGGTCGCCGTGCTCAGTGTTTGCTTTCTCGTATTCCATGAATGTACAGCGGGGGGGCAGGATAGCATCTCTGCATTGCTCTTGAAGAGCCATCTGCCGTTGCCTGGTTTACTCCTGCAATGCAGTTTTCACAATTCGCAGGTCACTTGGCAGCGCGCGCGCAATGATTCGACGCTCACTTGGTTCATGGTTCGCGTCGGTTCGACGCTCATTGCTATTGCATGCGACGGCTCGACGCTCATCAAACTGTTCCGCGTCATGTCGGTGCTCATTGATATGGCACGCGCCGACTCGACGCTCATCATTTTGGCCCGCGTCAATATGTACCGCGTCGACTCGATGCTCATTGGTCCAGAAGGCAGTCGTGCATGATGCCTCTGTTGCGCGTTTTGGCCCATCCCGGCTGACATTGCAGCGCGTCGTCGAAGGGGCGGGGCATATAGCCCCCTCGCGGTCCCTGTCCTTCCGAATTTAGCCCGGACACGACCGGGCTTCCTATCGCGCCAAATTTCCCCAACGCGTCGCCCGCAACGCCGGGTTCCCCAAGCGCGACGCCCGAAGCGTCCGGTTTCCCAAACGCAACGTCCGTGGCGCGCAGTAGGACTGGCACTTTCATATTTGTTTCGATCCTCCCCAACGGTGGCGGCAACAGCTGACCGTTCGAATGTCATGGCGCGGCCGTCAGCGGCCCTTTCAACCTCGAAGTGTCCGAGATCATGGCCTCGAATTCGCTGCCAGCGAGCTCGAAACATTCATATTGGTCACCTGTGTTTGCACAGGTGGTATTTCAGCCACTGGGTCAAACTCCCTTTGTCGAAACCTTACAAGCCTTGGGCCGCGGCTCGCCTCTGAAGGCGGCCAAGTTCCCGTCTGCTTTTCGAGACTGCGTCTGGCCGTGACTTAGGAGGACGCCCCGGAAAAGAAAACAACAAACGATAACCGTTTGCAGTTCGACTCGACAAAGATAGTGGCGGCGTCGCCGCGCTCCCCCCAATATTTTGCCGTCAGAGCCATGGATGCTGCGGCACCGCCATCTGTCCATGCAGGCAGGAGCAGCAGCAGGAGGAAGGGATGAGGAAGAGAAGAGAAGGGAAAGGCCAAAACGGACCCGCAACCCACCAAAACCCTGACGGACCGAGACCTCCTCCTCCTCCTCCTCTTCCTCCTCCTCCTCCTCCTCCTCCTCCTCCTCCTCCTCCTCCTCCTCTTCCTCCTCCTCATCATCCTCATCCCCTCTTCCACCCCGTGCCCGTGCTCGTCCTTGCCTTTTCTTCCTCCTCCTCGTCCTCCTCCTCCTCCTCCTCCGCCTCCACGTCCTCCTCTTCCTCTTCGTCTTCCTCCTTCTCCTCCTCGTCCTGCTGTTGCTGCTGCTCCTGGGGACCACGCGGAGCCGAACGCGCCTCCTTCTCCTCCACGCCCTCGTCGTGGTCGTCGTCGGCGCCCTCCTCCTCCTCCTCCTCCTCCTCCTCCTCCTCCTCCTCCTCTTCCGCATCCCACTTACGTATCTTCCGTTCTCCTTCTCCTTGACGGCCGCTTTGACGGTTATGGCCGCTGGCCCACCCGTTCAACTACAGCCATGAACACCGCTCGGACATAAAAACCCGACTCCTCCCTCCGTCCTCCTCCTCCTCCTCCTCTTCCTCCTCCTCCTCCTTCTCCTCCTCCTCCTCATCATCCTCTTCTTCCTCCTCCTCCTCCTCTTCCTCCTCCTCCGGCTCCTCCTTCGATGACGACATCGACGACGACGGCAACGACGAACGTAGTCGACACGAACAACGGCGACAACGACGACGATGGCGACAAGCGGCTCCTGGAGGCCAGCGGCTCCTTCATGTGCTCGTAAAGGCGCTCCGACTGGTTCGCCCCGAACCTCGGGGCGGGTTTCCTCCTCGGAGCCGCCGGAAGCTGCCCGAGATCCCCATGCGGCGCCGCTGCTCCGATCCGCCACCCGGCCTACTCCTGTCCGCCACACCTTGGAACGTAGTGGAATGCCCCGAGCCTCATGCAGCCATGAAATGTGACGGGTTTGCAAGCACTCGAAGGCCCGGACAACGACATTCGCGGAATTCTTGGGCGCTCCCGGGGTCTTTCGCATGGGCCTCTGGGACAATCGCCTCGCCCTAGAAGGGCCCCAAAACGGGCGAAGAGGGCCCCGAGAAACCCCCGAAGGGTCCAAGAGGCCTCCGAGATGGCCGAAGAGCTTGTCATTCAATCTGCCCAAGATTACCTATGATGGCCTCAAGGCGGGCCGAGAGGGCTCCCAAACGCCCCAAGAGTGCGCCAAGATGAGTCCCAATAGGGCCCTTAGACGCACAAATCAATCCAAAACCCGTAGGAAAACAAGTATGTTTAGCATGTTCACAACTTGTTCGTCGTAGCGCCGTCCAACACTGCCCAAAGGGCCCGCAAGATTGCCCCAAGACGGAAGAAGAGGCCTCCAAGTGAGGCCCAAGATGATCCACAAAGGCCCCAGGACTGCCAAGTAGGCCCCCAAGACGGCCCACGAGGGCCCCTAAGAGAGGCCTAAGGCCTGAGAGGGGGGACGCTGAACTGAGATTTCGACCCCCCCGCCCCGAGCGGACCCCCGAGACAGCCAACAGGCGCCCTGGAGGCCCCCAAGAAGCCCTTCAAGAACCGCCAAAGAGGCACCCAAACAGCTCTTAAGAGGCCCACCAGAAGCATCAAAACTGCCTTCATGAGGCCACCGGGAGGCCTCCCAAGAAATCCCAACAGGCAACCATAGGCCTCTGATCCAAATCCCAGGTCCGGTGACGGAATGGGCCGAAGGCCATCACATACATCCGCCGCCAATTTTTTGTTATTTCAGAACTCCCCCTGGGGCTTGGGCCCAGCGCGCCGGCCATCAGGAATCTTTGCCCAGAGGTGGTTGGCAAGGATTTGTCCGTTCCAGATGCGTCCAAGATGGCCCAAGATGGCCTCCAAATTCACCCAAGATGATCAAGAATGGCGCTCTAGACGGCCCAGGAGGGTCCAAGATGTCTCCGAATTCGCCCAACACCCCTCCAAGACGGCCCAAACGGCCCAAGAGGCCCCCAAAGGGCTTTCAAGAAGGCTCAAGAAGCCTCCAAGAGGTCCTCCGAGAGGGCCCGAAGAGGTCAAAATCAAAGATTTGCCTTAGGATTTTGGAGGATTTTGCCATTTGTTATTTTCCAGCCTTTCGAGATGGTCCCAAAGGCCTTCAAGATGACCCTATGACGGCCCAAGAAGCCTCCAAGACGGCCCAAGAGGGTCTCGAGACGGCCCAAGAGGCCTCCAAGACGCCCAAGATGACCTCCAAGAAGGCCCTGAAGGGCCCCAAGAGGGCTCCAAGTTGGTGCTGAGAGGCATCCAAGACGGCTTCCGACGGCGTCAGACGGGGCCAAAGAAGCCCACAAGAACCCCCTAGAGGCCCCCCATAGGCCCAAGGAGGTTTCCCAGAGGCCTTCGAGAGTCCCGCAAGAAGCTCCCAGAAGGCCCCAAGAGTCCTCCTTTCCTTTTCCTTATAAGCGATTCCTCCCTGTCGCACCCCGAGGCCATTCGAAAAGTGCGGGCGGGGCACTTCGCTTAAGACTTTTCTAATATTTATAATGCTGAAGCTTAGAAAATGGCAGCAGTTTCGCAAATTGAGGGCGGCGGGTTTTCAAAATGTGGCTCTCGCCTTGGCGCCGCACACGTTCGTCTTAAACACTTGCAAGAGCTTCACGGATTGAAGGCGGCTGCTTTTCAAAATGTGGTTCTCGCTTCAGCGCCGCGCACATTCTTTTCAAACATTTGCAACAGCTGCACGGATTGAGGGCGGTTGCTTTTCAACACGTGGCTTTCGCTTGGTCGCCGCGCACACTCGTCTTAACCACGTGCAGAAGTTCTACGGATTCACATGGCCAGCGTGACAGAAAACAAATGTTCTGCAACGAATCAGGACTGCCAGGGCGCAACAATTACATTGGTTCGCAGTGTTGAAACCCCGAGAACCTGGCGTTCTGGTACCATTCAGAATTGTCAATGCGCAACAATCAAATTGGTTCTTGGCGATGGGGTCCCGTGAATGGTGTTTTGGCACGCTTCAGGATCTTCAAACTGTTGTCTCCCGATGAGGGACTTTCCTCAATGGAAATGAATCCTTGTAGGCGCCAGCGCAAAAGGAGCAAGGAGGAATGGTTTAATTCCAACATCGTTGGTGAATCTTGGGTTTACGCTGATCTTCCTCCTCCTCCCCCTCCTCCTCCTCCTCCCCCTCCTCCTCTTCCTCAACCTCCATTTCCTCCTCCTCCTCCTCCTTCTCCTCCTTGTCCTCATCCTTCCCCTCCTTTCCATTTTTCTTCCCACTCCTGCGTTTTTCCATTCCCTACGCGTGTTTCCCGAAAGATGTCCACAACGGCTGGGGTAACACATGGTCCGATAGCGAGGCAGAACTCTGGCCACAACGTTCGGCCACATGGGCAATTCCAAACAAAAGAGGGCGGCGGTGATTCGCCGTACGGGTCTTCGATACCTGTACGACCACGCTTCGGGTCATAAGGAAGTCGTGTGTGGGGGGAACCAAATGATGACAACTGCGACGGTTGTAATGGTGACTATGCTGGTGATGCATCCGCGAGCTGGTGACGACGTATGATAACGATGCTGGTGACAATGCGCGATGGAACACCGCCAGGATACCATAGGAACGCCATCGGAATACTACCAGGGCGCAATCGGAACACCGTCGGGACACCATCGGGGCATTATATCAGAACACCATCGGGACACCATCGGGGCACCATGTGGACACCATCGGGACACCCCCAAACCACCGCCAGCCAACTGGCGGGACACCCCCGAGCCACCGCCAGCCAACCGCGGGGGGGGGGGCTTCGCCGTAGCAGCGGCGAGTTTATTGTGTTCGCCCGCCCACGCAGCTTCGCCTCGCCCGCCCGCCCGCACGACGCGAAACCGCAACCGATTTTTCAATGGTGGCTCCCGTTCCAACTCGATCTCACCCCCCAGCTTCCCATGTATATGTGCACCTGTGGATCAAAACGGGATGTGGTGACTTAGGCCACCAAGGACGAATCTTAATGAAGGAACCCAGCAGGACTGGCTGGTAGGCAGCATGAGGGACGAAGGACGAGGGACATCATCCACAAGAAGAGTCCTCATCTCCCCATGATCTTGGCAGGCGAGTGCGGGCCTGAAGCGGCTGGGCCATGGTTGAAAAGTCCGTCACCGATACCGACCGCCGACCGCGCTGCGCGCGCAACATGAGAAGGGGAGCGGGTGGAGGAACAACGAGCAGCTGTGTTGTAATGTGTTGTGCTGTGCTTTGGTGCGTTTTTTTGTTTTATCTTCTCTCTCTCTCTCGCTCCCTCTCTCTCTCTCTCTCTCCCTCTCTCTCTCTCTCTCCCTCTGTCCATATATCCCTCTTTATATATATATATATATCTATATATATATATATATATATATATCCCTCCCTCCCTCTCTCTCGCTATAGATGTGTGTACGCAAACTAGTATACGCGCACATATACTTGCCACGGGACCAAGCTTATGGCGCGCCAGAGTGGCCGTGTCCAGATCTTCGGGCGTTTGGCTTGGGAACGCATGCCTTGATGTACGAAGTAGCCTCGATTTTTTGGACTCGCGACATCCCTGGATTCCTGGGTTATCCCCTTCCACACTCGAAAACTGTCGCGCGTTTTTCTGATCGCCTCGTCCCAAACCTGGGCGCCACAAGTGGGCCCGAGGAGGAATCCGAGGTATTTGGTGTGCCCATCGATTCTGAATGCGCCCCAGACGCGAGCCTCTGCGGCGATTGCGACCCTGATCTCCTCGTTCCCGCGCGTAGACAGAGGCGCGATTATGGGTTTCTCGGCGCGGAGCTTCAAGCAACGCACGAACCACTATGCTAATTCGCCGGCCCAGCGGGCCAAAGGCGTGCTAAAATCTCCGGTAACTGGTAACAATATTCTAGTCCGCGCGCGCGGGCCCGCCCCTGGGGGTCCCCGGGCGAAAAATACCCCGGGACACCCCCGGGACACCCCTGGGACACCCCCGGGACACTCGGGTAAGATATGCCACACCTCTCAATTTTTCGACACCTCTCACGAGGACTGTGGCCTCCGAGGGGAGGGGCGCAATCGACTACCCCACCTCCTGACCCAAAGGTCCCCAAGACTGCCCAAGAGGCCCCCGAGACGCCCAAAGAGCGCTCCAAGACGCCGATGATGACCCCAAGACGGCCCAAAAGGCTTCCAAATGGCCCCAAGAGGCCTCACAAGAGGGCCCGAGAGGCCAATATCATAATTTTGACAATGGTTTTGGAAGGACTTTGGCCTTGTCGCCTTGTCGGCCATCCGATGCTCCAAGACGGCCCAAGAGGCCCCCAAGAGCGCCCAAAGACGGGCCAAGCGGCTTCCAAGAGGGCCCAAGACGGCCCCGAAAAGGCCCAAGACGGCCCAAAACGGTCCAACGACGGCCTCAAGAGGGGCCCAAGAGGGGGACCACGAACCGAGAACTCAAGCCTTCCGCCCCAAGAGGGCCCCAGGAGGCCCCGAGAGGCCCCCAAGAGGCCCCCAAAAGGCCCCCAAGAGGCCCCCAAGAGGCCCGCAAGAGGCCCCAAGATGCCGCCAAGAGGCCCCCACGAGGCCCAAAACAGGCCCCAGAAACTCAAAAATGTCTCCCAGGCGCCCTCGAACAGCTGCTCAAAAGACCCCAAGAGGCCTCCCCAAAAAGCATCTTGACGACGACCCTGTTTGGCCCCAAGAGCAACACAAAATGCCAGCGAGAGGCTTCCTCCTCCGCCCTCTCCCCTTCCTTCTCCTCCTCCTCCTCCTCTTCCTCCTCCTCCTCCTACTCATCTTCCTCCTCCTCTCCTTTTCATCCTCTCCTCCTCCTCCCCTCCCCTTCCTCATCCTCGTTTTCCTCCTCCTCTTCGGCGGCGCCGCAGTGGCCCCGGGCCCACGGCGAAACAGTAGCGATCGTGCAACAGGGGCCGGCGGAGTGAGCGAAACGATTGAAATAAGACGATATCCAGGTGACGAAACTTTGGCAGGTGCTTCAAGACGAGAATAACGTCGTCTGCGCGCGCGCTGACCAGAACCTCCAGCGAGAGACGCCGAACCTGCCGGAATAAAACGTCTGCGGCGATGGAAAAGAGCAACGGCGAGAAGGGACAACCCTGCCGCGCCCCCGCCGTGTCCCCGAATCCAGGCCCTGTGGCGCTGCAAAGGGAAAGCACACAAACGTTGCCGTACATTACGGACACGAAACGCAGCATTCAGATAGGCCAACCCCATGCGTCCAAGACGCGCTGGATGAACTCCTGGCTGAGGTTTGGGAACGCGGCCTCGAAGTCCAGGAAAGTGGCCAGCGGGCTGTCCTGGGAAAGAGCCGAATCCAGCATGCCCCCTCGACATCATTGGCGAACGTCGAGCGTCCACTCTGAAAACCGCGCTGCTCGCGGAAGAGCCTGGGGGCTACGACGGGCTCGATATGCAGACGTACGGCGTTGCGCAGGATCTAGTTGTCGCGCATCGTCATGCTGTTCTCGGCGACCTTGCTCTCGATCTCAAACGGGATCACGACCGTGGTGCGTAGGCTGTCCATGAAGAGCGGGAGAAGGTCGCCACCTTTGGCGGCCCCCTTCGTGAACGGGATGTCCGCGGCGATCTGGATGCACATGCGTTTGCTGTCGTCCCCGCAGCGCTCCACGGAACCCCGGGCGATGACCACGTCGTCCTCCGAGTCCTTCCCAACGGCCTCCCTTGCATCCCACTCGTATTCAGACGCATCAGAACCCTGGAACGTGCGCCTGATGCACAGCGGGCGACCGAGATTTGAGGAATCGGATTCCGCCATCTGGTACAGGGCGCCGTGGAAGATTCGGGCTGGTTTGCCGAAGTGCTTCGCGGATTCCCCAATGCAATCCTGAACCAAGAGCTTGAAGGATTTGTTCCGCACGAGTTCAATGAGAGCCGACTTGGGCTCCCCCTTGGCGTTGCTGTTCCATGCCTCGATCAGAACCTCGTCCCTTCGGAGAAGCTGCCTGACAATCAACTTCCGGAGGACCTTAGCATGGTCTACTGCTGTCTGGAACTTTTCACCTCTGCGTGAAACGTAGGGATGTCCACCGGTCCCTTCCGGCGGATGGAAAGGCGGGAGGTCCTCTTTTCCTTCTCGGCCACAGAATGGAGCGTGTCATGGAAGTCAAAGCGCTTCTCCGCGGCTTTCAGGCGGGTGTCGAACTTGGAGAATTCCGCGGTCTTGTCTTGCCAATGCTCACCCCCGTCTTCGTCGTCATTCCCTCCATGTCGAAGTCCAGGCCTTCCCAGAATACTTGTTGTGGAGATTGGTGGTTCTTGCCCTTCTGCAAGGCCTTCATCGCCTCATCATGTAGGGTGCCTTCCACGATGGACGCCCTGACTCTGGACATGAAGGTTTGCACGTCGTCGAACATACTCGTCTTGAGCAACTTGGCCTCTATGACCGATGCCCTTACTGTTAATCGTTTCCGACACTCCTGCGCCTCCTCAGAAACCATACGGACAGAAGAAATGAGAAGCAACACCGAGAGACAACAATCACTGAAAATGGCATCAACTATGTAATGCAATTACTGCAGTGAGTACACAAGCTGAAACAAGTCTCTATGCGAAACACGTGTTCTATCTGAACCTGCGTGCTATGTGTATATGTGTATAGGTACATACACATACACGTATACATGCATACATGTCGATGCGCATCTACGCATACACACGTGTTACGTATATGTGGAAGTGTGCGTGTACATTACAAGTGCATGTCTACGCGTCTGAATGCTTGTATGCTTGCGCATATACAATTATCTCTCCCTCTCCCTCTCCCTCTCTTCCTCTCTCCCTCCTTCCTCCGTCCCTCCCTCCCTCCCTGCCTGCTCTTCCTCCCTCCTTTCCCCACCTCGGTTTTCCGATTTCTGTGCCGGCTCCCACTCTCTGGCGGTGCTGCCGACCGACCCGAGCCGCAGCAGCCGAAACGGTAGCAGCAGCCCACCCATGGGGGGGCCTGATGGGCAGCAGCGCGCCATCGTCGCCGAGGCGCCCAGCCAAGCGATAACGGCCGCCGGGGGTCTTCTCGAGGACCCTGCCAGGGCCCCTGCTTCTCCTCTTCTAGCTCCTCCCCTCCTGCGACTTGCCTTCGATTTTTGAAGGTCGAGGGAAGAAACGTTTTGGGCTCTTTACTGTCTTCAGAACCCCCCAGCGATCTCCAGGGGTCGGATCCAGGGGCGGAACCAACAGTTTACACTCCTCCTCCTCCGCCTCCTCCTCCGCCTCCTCCTCCGCCTCCTCCCCCTCCTCCTCATCATCATACTTCTCCTCCTCCCGCTCTTTCTTCTCCTCCAAACGGAAGCAGAAGATGGAGGAGGGAGGGAATGGAACGGCCGACCACGACGGGATACCATTTTGGGTAACTCGTTGCTGCTAATTATCCATCCCGTCGTCCCCCTCGTCTCCTCCTCCACCTCGTACTCCTCCTCTTCACATCCTTATCGCTCCTTATCGTTCCTCCTCCTCCTCCTCTTCTTCCTCCTCCTCTTCCTCCTCCTGCAAATTCCTGAGGAGGAAATGAACGAGAACAATATAATGATAATAGTGTTGCTTCTGTGCTCTGGCGAGGCGTAAGCTCCTCAGTTGTTGACTTGAGCCAAACACTGCCATCGGCCTGGCAACTGCTTGGCTAACGCATGTTGCTGCGCTCCTCACTCAGCTGCGGAGCAATATTCCAACACCCCCCATCGGCCCGCACGGCCGATTGGAACGACGGGTGCCGAATTCAAATAAAGCGAACTGGGTAGAGAGCGACTTACTTTGCACACAACTCCGCCAAGCCTCCAACTCAGGAAAGTGGGACGTTTAAACAGCAAGATCATACGGGCAAAAGGCGGCTATGGAGTCTGGCGTAAACGCGCACGGGCCTCCTAACGCACGATGTACTTGTTTATGTGCCGCAACGTGCAAACTGCTTACATGGGAACATGCGAACAGTTGTGAATGGCAGAGGAGCGGAGAGGAGTAAAAGACGATTATCTAGCTGCGGTGGTGGCGGCTGACGGACCTGGCGGTCCTGGCCAGGGTAGCGGCCCGGCCGACGCGGTAAGCGGCCGTCTTTGGAGTGTAACCCGCATGAAACACTGGCTGGCGGTTAAGCCCATCAAACGCTTCGCAAAAATGACCAGACCCGTCAGCAGCGTCACGCTCGACGCTCGTCAACATCCCTCCAGCAGCCGACGTCAACATTGCGGATCCGTTTAACGCTACGCTCGGCAACGTCGCCGGACCTGCCCAACGCTTTCCCAAGAGCTGAGGTCTGGGTTGCAGAAGTCGCAGGAAAACGTAGGGCAAACTTCACGGAGCCTGTTTAGCTCGGTGCCTGTGTTGGGATAAACGGGCCCCCCTTGGCCCAGAACGGAAAGTCGTAGGCGGGTAACCACCCTAGCCAGAACGCCGCTTCTCTGCGAAGTTTGGACCAGTGACGCACGCTGCGGAGGGGGAACTCACGAACACCAATAACACGGTCGTTAGTCGATCGACACCTTTACCGTGGCTTGATATCAGCAGACCTCCGGCGCTATCATATCCGTCCTCAACCCCTCTCCATTCAATTCCCTCTAACACTACGTACTGCTCGTAGAAGATAACAGTACGATTTGCAAGCTTTCTGCAGAATCTCGCTAACTCTTCAGTGGCGCAGCGAACGTTTACCGTCCCATTCGCACTTGCACCCTGATCGCTGCGCGTCTCCTCATAAGAAATCGTGGCACAAAGGATCATGGGGCTGCCAGCCCTCAGCATGCCGAACATTGTGCCGAACATGTTTAACAGCTCATCACCTGGCATGTCGGGGCAGTCCTGGATGAGCAGTTGCATGTGTGGCACGTCCTGATTCGGATTGCCGTAACCGCGCCTTATATCGATGAGCGAAGGATCGAAGTGACCTGGGTTTAACGGGGGTCTGGAATTGTAAGGGAGCTTGGACTGCAGGTGGCCCATCTGATCGAACCAAATATAGTGGAACAGTCGCGAAACAGGTCGGCCCCCACCATCCATGTCGAAAACCTATGCCCATCATCGTGTCTGGTGGGAGTGCAGGCCATACGCCACCACTTGACAATGATCACGGGGTGGCCGCGCATGATCCAGATTTCGCCGCGAGGTGCATGTTGTATTGCTTTTGTCAGGGATGGTAGCCTTGCTCGCAGCAGGCAATATGCTGACACCCCCGCCGCCCCTGTCAAACAAATACCCTGGGACGTACCCAACCCTTTGTACCCATGAGGCGACTACACTACGCATCGGACCGCCCAAGACAAAAGCAAGCACTGAAGGACCGCCGTGCCCTTGAACGATTCGCCACAGAACGTCGGGCCAGAGTCACATGTTCACATATGCGGCGTCGCTCTTAAGAGTCAGATCGCTGGCAGGAAGGCGGCCACGACGGAGTGTGGAAGCACAGTAATGAAAGACGATTGAAAACATACTTCGTGGGAGCAGCGCCGCTGGACCCCCAACGTCGCAACCCAGCCCCCCAGAGGACGGCGATGTCTCATGGTGATCTGCGGAAGACGCACCTCCGCTGGGCCTCCCAGGAGCCAACGAAAGTGGCGACAGTTTCGCAGATCGCAGCCCACAGGGAACGGCGAGGTCTCGCGGTGATCTGCGTAAGACGCACCCCCGCTTGGCCTCCCAGGAGCCCACGAAAGTGGAGACAGCTTCGAAGATCGCAGCCCCCCAGGGGACGGCGAGGTCTCGTGGTGATCTGCGTAAGGCGCACCTCCGCTGGGCCCCCCAGTAGCCCGCCAAAGTAGCGTTTCGCAACTCGCAACCCCCCAAAGGACGGCGAGGTCTCATGGTGATCTGCGTCAGACGCACCTCCGCTGAACCTCCCAGAAGCCCACGAACCTGGCGACAGTTCGCAGATCGCAGCCCCCTGGAGAACGGCGAAGTCGCATGGCGATCTGCGTAAGACGCGCATCCGCTGGGCCTCCCAGGAGCCCACGAAAGTGGCGACAGTTGCACAGACCACAACCTTCCAGGGGACGGTGAGGTCTCATGGTGATCTACGTAGGACGCTCCTCCGCTGGGGCTCCCAGGAACCCACGAACATGGCGACAGTTTCGCAGATCGCAGCCCCTTCAAGGGACGGCGAGGTCTTATCGTGATCTGCGTAAGACGCACCTCCGCTGGGCCTCCCAGGAGCCCACGAACGTGGCTACAATTTCGCAGACCGCAGCCCCCAAGGGGCGGCGAGGTCCCGCGGTCATTTGCGTAAACCGCACCTCTGCTGGGGCTCCCAAGAGTCCCACGACAGTGGCTACAGTTTCGCAGGTGCAGCCCCGCAGGGGACAACGAGGTCCCATGGTAACCCTCGTAAGACGCACCTCCGTTGGGCCTCCCAGGAGACTGCAAACGTGGCGACAGTTCGCAGATCGCAGACCCCCAAAGGACGGCGAGGTCTTGTGGTGATCTGCGTAAAACGCATCTCCGCTGAGCTTCCCAAGAGCACAAGAAAGTGGCGGCAATTGCACAGACCGCAACCTTCTGGGGGACGGCGAGGTTTCGTGGTGGTCTGCGTAAGACGCCCCTCAGTTGGGCCTCTCAGGAGCCAACGAACGTGGCGACTGTTTCGCAGATCGCAACCCCCCCAAGGGGACGGCGAGGTTTCATGGTGATCTGCCGCCGCTGGGGCCCTCAAGAGCCCACGAGCGTGGCGACAATTTCGCAGATCGCAGCCCACCAGGGGACGGCGAGGCCTCGCATTGATCTGCGTAAGACGCACCTCCGCTGGGCCCCCCAGGAGCCCACGAAAGTGGCGACAGCCTCGCATACCGCAGCCTCCCAGGGGACGGCGAGGTCTCATGGTGATCTGCGTACGGCGCACCCCCGCTGGGGCTCACAGGAGCACACGAACGTGGCGACAATGTTGCAGATCGCAACCCCCCAGGAGACGGCGAGGTTTAATAGCGACATGCGTAAGACGCACCTCCGCTGGGGCCCACAGGAGCCCACGAACATGGCGACCGTTCGCAGACCGCAGCCCCTTCAGGTGACGGCGAGGTCTCATGGTGATCTGCTAAAGCGCACCGCAGCAGGGGCCACCAGGAGCCCACAAAGGTGGCGACAGATTCGCGGATCGCGGCCAACCAGGGGACGGCGAGGTCGCATGGAAGCCTGCGTAAGACGCACCCCCGCTGGGCCTCCCAAGAGCCGCTGCGCAAGTGACGACACCCGAGCGGGCCGCGGGCACGAACCAGGACGCAAGCGGGAGGAGAGGGGGAGAGGAGGGAGAAAGGGACGAGGCGGGGGCAGGAGAAGGAGGAGACGGACGGGACAGACAATGCTCTATACAATTACACAAGGACGTATCCATCCCTTTGCACACATAAAGCCACTATACATCGGGCCGCTCAATACAAACAACGAACACTGAAAGACCAACCGTGCCCTTGAACGATTCGCCAAAGAACGTCGGGCCATAGTCACTTGTTCACATATGCGGCGTCGCTCTTAGGAGTCAGATCGTTGGCGGGCGGGCGGCCGCGAAGGAGTGTGGACACACAACAAGGAGAGACGATTGGAAACATAATTCGTAGGAGTAACGGCGACCGTTTCGCAGATCGCAGCCCCCCCCCCCAGGGACGGCGAGGTCTCATGGTGATCTGCGGAAAACGCACCTCCGCTGAGCCTCCCAAGGGCCCACGGAAGTGGTGACAGTTCTGCAAGTCGCAGCACCCCAAGGGACGCCGAGGTCTCGTGGTGACCTGCGTAAGACGCACCTCCGCTAACCCTCCCAGGAGCCCACGAAAATGGCGACCGATCGCAGATCGCACCTCCCCCAGATGACGCCGAGGTCTCGTGGTGACCTGCGTGAGACGCACCCCCGTTGGGCCTCCCAGGACCACCCGAACGTGGCGACAATTTCGCAGATCGCCGCCCCCCCCGCCAGGGGACGGCGGGGCCTCATTGTGATCTGCGTAAGACGCACCCCCGCTGGGCCTCCCAAGAACCAACGAGAGTGGCGATGGTTTCGCAGGTTGCAGGCCTTCAGGGGGCGGCGGGGTCTCGCATTGATCTGCGTAAGACGCA